GGTGCGGGGAGGGCTGCGGGAGCCGCTCCGCGGGGCTGGGCGCTGGCGCCCGCACCTTTGCCGTTACTTTTAGTTTCTCGGCTTTGGGCAGCACGAAGGTTTAGTTGTAGGAACTCTCTGCGTGCGCGTGTATGAGGATTTCGTAAGAACCGGGGCTCGAAGCTTTGTTAGTGCTGTCTTGCAAACGTTAGAGAATCGTCATTTTTTTTCAGCTGGCGATAATTCGGTTCACAGCTAGAAAATCATCCTTAAGAAAATACAGGAGGACAAAACACTTTACAACACTTTTACGATACTTGATGCAAAGTTTTTGTTGATATTTCCACAGTACGGCTTTTAGAAATAAAATGTTTCCCATGCACGATTGCCCCATCTAATCTCTGCTAGTTACTGCTGCGCTTTAGTTTCTTAGAAGCATCACCGTGGTTTTAAGACTGAAATAATGGCTTGCCTGTGTTTTGTAGTTGGTCTTTGAGTTGTTCTGCTAAACTGCTGTAGCGATGAGATTTTAATAACGAAAGTATTAAACTGTATGTATATTTTACGCCACAAAAGTATGAGACTGGCGAAGCCTATGACTAGAAGCAAATATTCAGCTGAATGTAACATTAAAGCAGGAGCTTCAGAATTATATAGATTAATCTAAAACCTACTAGATTTAAGCTTTTTGTGCTAATACAATTTATTGATTTATCTGTAAACCTTGAATATCCCCACTTCTTACTTTGTGTGGTGAGAAATCTGCGAACTTAACACAGTTACTTCTGATCAAATCTGTTAAAATGAAATGTGTAGAACTTCAGAATGGCAATCAGGGATGACTACATTTTTTTTAATTGTTTGTGGCTTTTGTAGATAATAAGTTTGACCATGAACGCAGAATGCTTGAAGCTGTGTAGTCTTGTTGAGTAAATAATTTTTTTTTGCACGGTCTAAATGACTCGGTATTTGTAAACTAAAGGCCCCGATGCTCTTCCTAAAATCCATCATAAGTTTTTGTTAGTGGAACTGGTAATAGGCAAAAATGCTCTGGTTAGGTTCAGTTTTCTCCAAGAAAACTATATTTTTCTAAGAAGAATTTCTCCGCTCCTAAGGTCAGCTGTAAAACCGAACACACAAACAGTCCCAAAAGTTTTAAGTTCAGAAAAGCTAATCATATTCAGACTAAAACAGTAAATCCTAGTAATTAAGCTAATTTTCCGTGCAAGCATACGTTCTCCACACATACGTGCGGACATGCAGATGGTAAAAATGTCTGGTCTTCACCATTGCCTGTCCTTTAACTTTGCAAAAGTCTGAGGAAATTCCAGGAGTTTGATGAATTTGTTCAATTTTTGGCCTCTCTGCCTCTCAGGAAATGTAAGATAATGGTGTCATGGACACTTGGAGCAGAATTCCTGCTGAAATAAGCTGTTCTGCCTTTCCATCTGCCCCCTTCCTTGTGCTAGCAGAAGGAAATGGGGCTGCAACATGATGGGGAAACTGATCTCGGTGGAACTATACTGTCGTTTCCCCGTGCTCTCCCCCAAATGTTGGGGCAAGTTGATCCTGGTTTCCTGGGATGAGCAAATTTCCTGGGATGAGCAGGTTTCCTGGGATGAGCAAGACCTGCAGTGCTACTTGATATCAGTTTATAGCGTTTGTGAAACTACTGCGTAACAAGGGTACTTTCTTTCAACAGACAAATAGGTGGTGGTGCTTCAGTGATGATACCTGTAGATACCCTTGAGAAGCAGTCTCATTTGGCCTCTTAATAAATTATCTTCCAATAGTACACATCAGAGTAGCCCTTTAAAAAAACCCAAAATTCACTTTCATTTTCTTGGGGAATTACCAATTGGTAATTCTTCCTAGCACTGGAGTCTGACACATACCTTAGTTTTTTCCTAGCAGTTTGCTATTTTCTGCCGTGTTTCCCTTCTTTGTTTTTCTGATATGACATTCAAGCTGTGTGACTGGGTGTTGAATAGGCTGTGACTCAGTGCACAAGAGTAAGGAAAGGTCAATGCACAAATGGATTCATCCCAGCAACTGCCTTGAGTTGTGGCTCTTCCTCTGCTTCTGCCTTGCTTTTGGGGAAAAAATGTACTGCTGAAGTACGCCAGCAGTAAATTACTAGTTGTCCCATACTGGTTTTGCTCAATGTGCCAGAGCATAGCACTAAAAGTTTAATAGGTGAGTAATTGAAAAAGTGCTGTGGTTTCTTTGTTTTTTAATATTCTCGGTTTTGCTTGGATTGGGCTCAACTGTGTTTCTGACATACAGCTGTTGCTTGCAAGATGTAATAGCTTGTCTTTTCAAAGTTTTTTTTAAAACTGCATTGATGGATAATTTTTGATAGAATAAAGTATTAATCACTCCACAAAATGTATATACTATTTTTACTAAAGATACAGCATGCACGATGCAAATTCACTGCAGAAAAGAACTGAAAAATGAGACTCATCCTCCCTCCACAAGCATAAGTTTCATTATCACAGCCACTACATTGTTGCATGCTACGATTTCTTAAAAATTTCTTTTCAATTACATTTTTTTATGTTTGCTTTTCTTATTTAAAAGATTGATGGGTTGAGATAACAGGATTAGTAGAAACAATTTAGTGGGCAGTAGCTCATCTGATAGCAAATACTAGCTGACAAATTTGAGAATTCATTTGTGTTCTTTTCTGTTGGAAAGCTAAAAATCTGTCAGCATTACGAATGGTAAAATGTGGACCAACAGGATTGTTACACTGGTAACTTCTTCTAGGAGCAAAAGTTCTTCCTCCTCCATCCAACCTGGACTACTCATTTATCCAAATCTGCACCCTGAACTGGACGTGGAACCCCCCAGAGAACATCAGCAGCAGCTGCAACCTGGAGTATTCCAGCGACATCGTGATTGATGAAGTACCTCAGGACAAAAGAGTAAGTGCGTCACCTCTTTGAACTCTGCTGTGCTCCAGTAAATGTCTTAGTGTGATAAAACTGTGTATGTGCAAGAATATATATGTATATAAATACGGCTTTGTCTTTATTTCTTGTCATGGGATCAAAACCTCAAAAATGAGTCATACCAGCATGTGGGATCTTCAAATGAGAAAAATCTGTCTGTCGTGCTCTGATAGTTGAGCTGCTATCGATAACACAGCAGTACCATAACAATAATGTGAGAAGAGTTGTTTCAGCCTTTGCTTATGCAGCTTTCTATAAAAAATAAAATGTATACAGGGCAGTCCACATCCTTAAGGCTTAAATGCAAAAGCTGATCTCCTTCACTTTGCAATTTCTGAACGACATGTGTGCATTAACCTTGGTGTAGCTGTGATTTAACAGCGCAGTGTCTTTTGGAGGTAATGCCAGGTATTTAACATATTCCCACGTTTGCCCTGTCCCTGTGCTTACAACTATTCATGGGTGTTGTGTTATGAGGGCAACACAGAACGCATTTGTTCCCTGGAACAGAAATTGTAAAACTTCTTTGGTTTGGGCAGTTGTTTTTATGTCTGTGTTAGATGGTGCGCAGCCCAGATGTGGTCCCTGGTGTGGATTAACAAGTGTTTGGTCAGGGCTGAGAGCAGCGTTGCCATGGTACTGAAGGGACCACAGGAGAAATATTTTTGAAATTCATTGGCAGGAGGATAATATGCTATCAGTCCATAATTCCAAAGTGTGAGAATGTGAAGCCCTGAATACACACCAACCGTGGGGTCGGCAGCGCTGCTGTTTCGGATATGGTTAAAATCAGTACAATGCCTCCTGAAACAGTCCTTTGTTGTGAGCCCTATTACAGTTTTATGCCCTGATGTTTACAACGGCTTCTTGATGGTAACTGCCCTATTCTTTGACAGCTCCAGGGTATCCTGGACTTGAAGTAAGGCTGTGGTTTCACAAACAGCCAAGCTGCTTTAATGGCTTAACACTGCTAAAAGGGTGATTCCTCATTTCTGACACCCCTTCTGTAATGATCTTCACTGGACCATTAGAAGAGCTGGTCTGACTTGCTAACTCAGCAGAAACCTATTTACCTCATCTGATAGGTTCATTAACAAATTAACAAGTTGAAAGTCTGCTTGGTTAATGAGCTGAATGAATTTCGGGAAGGGTCTAACAGATGTTGAGGTCGGCAGCAGTGAAAGAGCAATGGGACAGCAGTTTCACGTGACGGGATGAACCAAACTGTGTAACATCTTCCTGCGTCTTTTGCATTACAGCTGGTAGAACATAGACCGTTCATTGCTGTTTGATTTCCTTGCCCTCTCATTAGTGCCTATATATATATATATATATATAATTTTTTTTCTTTTAATATAAAAGTTCTTTGATATACACCATTCTTTGATAGCTAAAATATCCTTTTTTTTTTTTAATCTTGTTTCCAGTTGAGTTAAGGCATCCCCCTATCCCAGTAAAAGATACTTAAGAAAGTGTATGATTAAGGGTTTAGCCTTTTTCTCACATAAACATATACTGTCTTCTGAAAATGGAAGATCACAGGCTACTTTGGCTTGATGTGGTGTCATTGTATTTAATAGCCATTTGTGGATTTCTTTCAATAATTTTTTTCTTTTGCTCCTTAAATCCATGCAAACTCTTCTTATTGCTTTTTGGCTACATCTTCAAATGTTCTTTCTTCTGTTAGTCATGTGCTCAGGTGCAGACACACAGAAAGGTGAAGGTTAGATCTGTAAGCTTCTCTTCATATAGCTGTAGTATAAACGTGCTTATTTTGCATTGTCCATGAAGACTTACTCTGGGATCATTTTCCCCCACATTATACTTGTTCCTTGATTGCTGTGTGGCCTTTGCTCGTGTCTACAGGTCACTGGAGTAGAATTAGTTTTCCTTTGAGTTCTGAGTGCACCTGATGAAGAAAAAGGGGAGCTAAATGTGTTGCTGAGGCTTCCCATGTTGTCAGACACTCATTTCATTTGGCTTTGAGCTGCAGCCTTTCTGAGAGGCTGTAATGTATTCTTACATTAACAGTAATTCCCATGTTTCTGATACGGTATGCCAAATGTTCTGGTTTTCCCGTACCCCATCTAACACAGGAGTGGAGTAAGAGTCGCTTCCGTGTGACAGATACATTCTTGAATGAGGAAATGCGTTTCAAAGTGAGAAGTGAATGCAAGTACGATAACACCAGCGAGCCCAGCCGATGGGTGGAGACCTCCCTTCTGCCAAAAGGTAACGTGCAGTGGCCAGAACAGGGAGACATCTGCCTCTCTTGGCCTGAGGAGACACAGCCTTCTTTTCTCTGCTATTTTAACAAAATATTGTAGAGATATATCATAGAGAAATAGGGAGATACCAGACACGAGGGCTAGTTCAATGGATAGAGCGTAAACAGAATGATTACGCTCCATTTAAACGCTCTTCCAAGACAACAACAAAAAAAATTTAAATGCTCTTCCAAGACAACAGCATGATTCCTGTCATCCCACTGTCCGTGCCGTGCTGTGGTTGTGAGATAAGAGATCACTTAGGTTGTATTTAGCCTGCTGACTTGATGACTAACATCTAAGTTTATTTTGTATGGTTTTTTCTGTACAAGCAAAAGTGCCTAAAGTAATCCTACATTTGTAAATGTTAGAGGGATGAATTTAGCAAATGTAACAACTTGTTGAATAAATAAGTGACTAAATTAAATATTATAGTAGGGTTCTCTCTTTTTCAAAAGAGATGACTGGGGTCTACAAAGCTGTGCACAGCAAAATGAATACAGAAAAAGTATTTTTTGTTTCTTGACATCCAGAAATAAGGGGTCCACAGCAAAACTGTTAGGAAGGAGACTTTAAGGAATAATGTATTCTGCTTGATGCTGGAAGTTAGGTGGTACAGTTAGGAAACAGAGCCTCTTGCCTTAAGTAGTAAAAGACTGTCTAACCCAGGAGTGTGTGGACAAAAACCACATGTGGACTGGGGAATCTGAGACCTTATCAGGCTTCTCTACGTGCCTGTCAAAAGGGTATTCTGGAAAATCAGAGAAGCAGTTTGTTAGGACAGCATGTGCTAAACAGGTTGGGGCTTTTAAAAGTCTGCTTGCAGATAAAATCTTTTTAAACACTACTTGGAACAGAAAAACTAGTTTCACTTTCCTATACTCTTAGTTGCCACTTCAGGGAGAATGCAAGCTTGGAAGTAGAATGTAGTTTGGGATTTACTATCAATAAAAGTCTGGACTGTTGATAAAATTAACATGCATTTTATTTTTAGTTCGTGGAGATGTTGCTACTTGTTACAAGGAAAAAATATCTAGTAGGCTGTAATATGATAATACAATAGAAAAAACTTGTACCATACAAAAATGCAAGATTGAATATGAAAGACTTTATTCTGTAATTGCTCTGCCTAGGAGATATGCTGATGTCTCTATTCCCAGTTGCCATGTACTCATTTGTATTTGTTCTGTAATTTGGGTTTTCAGTATGTTGAAGTTGAAAGTCTATATGGGTCTCAATTAAAAATTCAACTTACCCACTGTTGCTTTTGTCCATATTTAAGATCTACGGGAATTTCCACATTCAGAATACTGAGAAACTAATACTGTATCTGGAGAAGAAAAATATAATTAGATGCTGACTAGTTTTAATGTTGATGGCTGTAATAACTATAACAAAGCTAAGTGTTATCCCTATAATTGCCGGTTACTTTAACTCCTTTTTAAAGCATCTGTAGTTTAACAGAACAAAATATTCTCCTGACTCAACATCTTGTCCTTAGCATCAGGTAACTCTAATAATTCAGACGTGGTGGAAACTGAGATTCACTGTTATGATTAAGTTGCATTTAGAAGTTGCTCTGCTGAAATTTCACCTATTGCAAGCGATAAACAACTGGAATTCATCGTTTGCTGTGCTGAGGCAGGCAGTGCAGGCTGAGAGGTAGCCCATCTTTGCCTTCCAGAGTTTCAGTTACGTAAAAAGGAATGTTTTACTTCTGGAAACGGGGGAGAAGATTTTGCTGGCAAAATAAATTTTAAGAGACCTTTCCAACTTGCCTTGCAGGTATTCCAGGTACTGCTGCTGTTGACTTGAGCTGTGTTTGGCACAACTTGGAGTACATGGTTTGTAAATGGCGTCCTGGGGAGAACGCAAGCAGTGATACCAATTATATGTTGTTCTACTGGTTCGTATGAACTTTTATTCCCAACTCTAAAGTGCTTTGGTGCTAATCTTCAGTCTTACATTACACATTTTACTTGTCTGCTTCCTGTTGCTTTGAAAGGTCCCAGGGCATTGCGTACAAGTTAGTGTTGGGTCCTGTCCAACAGAAAACTTCACTGATGAAGAGGCTGCTGTTGCGGAGTCTTTTTGGGAAGTTGATGTAGCTATTAAGCTGGCTGCTTCTGTAGCCCATTTTGAAATAACTGCTATTGCTTTCTAATTTTTTCTAATTGTGGCTTCAAGGAGGGAAGAATTAAGAACTGAGCTAGACCACTATATTAATTGTTTTCTTTGTAGTCCAGCAAACATGGGCCATTTAAGTCCGAATGACTGATTAATGTATGTGTCAGCTCTTAAATCACTGGAAAATGGTATGAAAGCATTAACACTTGGCAGTAGTCTTGTTTCTATCTTCAATATCATAAATAACCGATTCACCCTGAAAACTACGGAGAACATCTTTTTATCATCATCCCCGCTTGCCAGCTGACTGCCATAAATAGACTCTTGTTCCAAAGGAACAGAGTTGTGTGAGCAAAAACTTGGCATCAAGATCCGTGCATGCTGATCTGTGCATACTTCTGCATGTTGATGGGACTTGTGAAATGCCAGATTGCGTTAGCTTCTGTAGAAATATTGAAGTTTTCTTTCTGAAAGATGCGTATTGTTGTTTTAAACCAGCTTTCTGTCTTATCTGAACTAATTAAATTTTTCCTATCCAGTCTTGCGTGGCAGCTGTTCAATCCAGTGCAGGAGACTTGCTGCTTTAGTTAAATGCAGGGAGAAATATTGTCTCTCTAAACTGCTATTGAAAGAAATTTTTTCTTTATTACAAGAACAGTGCCAATGAGGCATTGAAGATCTGAATTTCTGGGTATATGGATACTTACTGGAATAATGCTTCAGATTAGAGCTAAGTATTTTCAACCCCTTAATTTTAATGATGGTGTAGCTGCAGCGACAGGAAAGTTGTTTTAATTCAGGCTGCTTAGAAAGAAAAATACTTTTTTGATTTTAAAGCTGAAAACTAAGGAAACACTTGATTTTTGGTCTGAAAGATACATTTTTCCATAATGCAGGTGAAGTGGTTTTTTTAAATTTTGTTTTTGTTTTTCAGAAATGAGTGAACATTACCTGAAAATTATCGCTTAATTCCATTTTATATTCTTCTCGTTGATGTTTTCCTCTAAAACCCTATCTTTTCATCCAAAGTGAACATGAATATAACATTAGCTTAGAACAAACAAATCCAGTCAGTGCACAGTAATGCTTGCTGAAACAGAAGCTTACTAGTGCAGGTTGATGCATCACTGGCATGGTGCTGACTGCTCTGAATGTCTCCCATCTCCATCAGCCCCAGGGTCGGGAGGTGAGAGAGGTGGATAAAAGAGGGACAGACAGTTTTGGTTTCCCCAGCCCCTCTATATTGAGATATGAAGTAGGGGAATGACACTCGTGCTACTAAATGAAGCTCTGATTTACTCTATATCACTTTTAAAATAAAAAATCAGTTTTCTCAGGAGGAAAAGCTACTGGCATATTTTCATTTGGACTTGGGGAACAAAGATAAGCAAGGAAGAAGGTTGTCATAGCTTCTCTGTTATTGGAAGCAAGTGCTGACATTTTGAAAAGCAAATGTAGGCAATAGGTGAAACTTGACTACCTCAAGCAAGAGCTGCAATACCTGAGCCATAGGTAAAGGAGATTGACCAGCTCATTCTGTCACAGAAGTGAAATTCTGTTGATGGGAAGTGATCCAAATTAGTTTGCTTTCTAAATATTTTTTTTTTCCTTGAAATTGTTTTGCCATGTGGAAAATGTGAACCAAAGCTGGAAGCCGCTGTTATATTTGATGCTTTGATATAAAGAAAACCTGTATCTGTTACTACTAGACACTCCTTTACAAAATTAATATTCTTTCTAAAGCTTGAGATAAATTATAAGCTTCTTACTTTGCTTAGCTTTACTTTTATATATGCTATACCACAGCTTTAATGCAAGATCAGTCTTTATAATTTGTAACACAGGTTGCTCTTTGCTGTCCTATTCTTTTGAAGTTTAAAAAAAAGTTTTTCTTCCTATAGGTTTGATGGTTTGAAAAACTGTAAGAAGTGCAGCAACTATTCTATGCATCAAGGAACCTTTGAATGCATTTTCAATCTTAGCTTCCCAAAAGTCACCAGTACTTACCCAGCTATAAGTATTTTGATTAGAGATGATTCTGAGGAAATTAGGCCTGTGTGTGCCAGTAAAAATCCTACTACCCTTGGTAAGTTTAACACCACATTATAAAAAATAATTTAAAGAAGTTTGCTGGTGTATCGTTGTGTTTGAGAAGCCTGCACATCATAAGCTGTAGATGAGACAATATGTTTAGATGCTCCCTTCTACTGATCAATCAGAGATCAATTATACAGACTGGGTTTGTTGCTTGGGGAGTGTGGGGGTCATTTTCTACTAAATTTTACTCTTGTTCTTCACTGTTTTATTCTTTCTTGACTTTTTGGTGCTAACTTTTTCCTCTTTCTCTTCCTAAACTGGTATAAGTGTATTATGCAATACAGGACTTGAACTTTTTATTTCTTTTGTAAGCAGTGAAATACACTTTTTAACTAATTCTTCCATTTTGCATTTCAGTAAAACCTGCTACACCAAGACGAGTTACACTGTCAAAGATAAATGATGAAATATATGTAGAATGGAGTGAATCAGACACCTTTCCAGAAAATTGTTTATTTTATGAAGTTGAATTTCACAATGGTGATTTGGACACTGCTCAGATAATTAAAGTAATTTTTCATTACTTACAGTTAACTGATTTTTTTTTTTTTTCCCCTATGTATCTTGTGTTGATACTCACAGTAACTCAAATATTTGCTGTTTAAAAATGAAAAATCGTGTAGGCTGAATGTGAATGGGACTGGTGCACTAGCTGGAAGTGTTGTGTGGACTTAGGATTTTTCTCCCATAAAGTAGTTTTCTAGTAGTAATATCTCATAGGCAATTCATATGAGGCTTGAATCCTTGCCATCATTTGTTATGACAAAGCAGTAATGCGTAAGAGCAGTGTGATAAAGTATGACATACTAAACTAAACACTCATCAGGAAATACACTGTGGTGCATGGACCTGTTTGCTTCTCAGTGATGTGGGACTTTGGTCTGTTGGTGCTGGGTTTTCCTGTCATTGGTCTGTGCTCGATCAGATGACTGACTTATTCTTGAATGACATGACCTGATGGCCATAAAGCAAAATTAGTTGGTGATGCACACAGGAACACAGAATGTTATACAGAACAGCAAGGTGATAAAAAGACTGAGGATGGTAGGAAAGAAAAAGATATGTGCTCTTAGGTACACTGATTTTAATGTACATATAAAAAGCATTTACTTCGGTATCTGGATGTACTCGTGTCTGTATCTGCATAGCCAAAGTGAATGTACTGTTTGATTGGAATGGTAAACAACATGATAAATTCAAAAGTAAGGTGGCAGTCTTCTCCTGTGGAGCATATTTAGTTGTTTGTCCTACCCCAAATTTAGCAAACTCAAATAATATCAACATTCCTCAGGAAACCGGTAGTTTGAATCAAAAATAAGTGAAGTTTGCAAACACAGTAGTTGGGATCATGTTTCTAGAGGCATCATAAAAGACTTCTGCATGGTCGAAGTTGGATCAGTGTTGCTGCCCCGACAGAGAGGGGAAGGCAGCATAGATCACAGATGTTTCTCCAAGAAAGGCACTGATCCAAACACTGAGTCTTAGTTTAATCATTGGTGCCAAATGCTGTATGATAGATGTAGCAGTGAATAAGATCAAATCTTAGCTTTGGAATCTCTATTTAGGCAGTCTGTGCTCGTTAAATGCTACTATGCACTTTTTTTATGAAGTTCAGTATTCACAAAAAGATCTTCCATCAAAACATTCAGAACACATTAAGGGCACAGTGAAGATAGGCTTGTAAATGAGAATATGTTGGTAACTGAACAAAGCAAATAACCTTTTCTTTTTACCTTAGGTTGAAAATAATTATACGTCAATTCCTACCGTTGATCCTAATAGCAAGTACATCTTCAAAGTGAGAGCAAAACCAAAGCCTGAGTGCTACAGCAGCAAGCTCTATAGTGACTGGAGTGAAGAAAAGAGTATTGGTGAGGGCAGCTGTTCCTGCGATTTGTTACAATTTATTCTTCATCTGTGAGGAGTCTAATCCCTTTTGTCTGCTAAATAAACAGGAGTCTAAGATCATCTTCCTATGGATCTATTTAATGTTAGATAAAAGGAGGGCAAAAGAGTTCTAGTCCTGCAGCAGTGCCATCAGTTACTGCCTGTATTGCTATATATGTTCATGGGGTTGCCATCTGTGTCGCTATGCAGTGCCCCCTTTCCCAGGCTGTCAGTTTTTCATCCCTGAGTCTCACAGGTTTGCATTTTCTTGCCAAATCTATCTACATTATAATATGCTTTGAAAAATAAATCCTTTCCTATGCAAGCGCTAGTGTCTTTGAAAAACATCCGGTCTGTGAACAAATTAGAGAATTAATTAATTTGTTGTCATTATTCCTAAAAAGCCTCTCAAAACATCCCTAAGTTTCTACAATTTTGTTTTTCAGGTGAGAAGATGGACAATACGGTCCATTTTGTTTTAATAATCACCATTCCATTAATAGTAGCAGTATCTACGATAATTCTACTGGTTTATCTCAAAAGGTAAATAACAATCTCCCTTTATTTACAGTCCACTAATTCTGGTTGGTCTTTGACTTGCATTAAAATTCATCTCTCTTGCAGTGTCCATGTGTGTCATGTTTCAATAGCGTCTGTTTTATCCATAACATGTATTGCATAACAAAAAATGGCAGCACCATCGTGCCTCAGTCATTAAAGTTTATAGACCATGTATATGCTGTGGTTGCACTTGGGTAACATTATATCTGCGAACGGTTACGTTCTTGTCTCTTTAAGCAATGAAGTCTGAATTCAAAATTAAGCTCATATATAAAGGATATTTTACCAGATTTTTTTAAAAAAGAGTCTACACATTTGCTGCTGTCTTTGTCAACAGTGAAAGTTATTTAGAATCTGTCTGTGTGAATATTCCCATTTCCTTTTGGTTTGGGGAGTAAAAATAAGAATTGGGAGCAGTTACGTAGAGAATGAAGGCTGTCCAGTGATGCCAAAGCTGACTCTGCAGATTTTCTTGACTGTGCCCAAGTATGACTTTGAAATGGTGATTTTTTAATTAATATATCCTGAATGTAATGCTTTTCTTTTTCATTTTATGAAGGCTGAAGGTATTAATTCTTCCACCAATTCCAGACCCTAGAGAAATTCTTAAGCGGATGTTTGGAGAGCAGAATGAGGATGCCCAGGTTAGTAAGAAGCTGTTGGGCCAGCCTATCTGTTGAACCAGAATCTGTAGGCTACCAGTTTTCTTTTTTCCTAATATATATGTCTATCTTAAAACCAACTGTATGTAAGCATATCATATGAAAATTAAATATTTACAATAGTAAGAGTTGTTCAGAAACAATTACTCAAAGCTGAGAGGGATTTTTTCCCCCCTCAAATTGCATATACTTTTCTAGATACATCAGTAGAATTGTATTATTCTGTTATTTTACAGATTTCTAGTCCGTTAAAAGTGGTTTAGGTTGGTTTGGGGGTTGGTTTTTAGGATGGAAGTTTTCTGGCTGTTGATTTTTTGTTTGGTTTGTTGGTTTGGTTGTTGGGGTTTTTTTTTGGGGGGGGGGAGGGCACTACTGATGCAACTCAGCCATCTATATTTTTGTCTCGGACTTCAGCGTGGTTTTATTGTTGTTCTAATTCTCAGTAGTTTTTCTGTTTTTCCCCATTTGCTTTTTCCCTTGACTCCTTACATT